TTATGAATTATTTTTAAAAATAATAAAATTATATAATAATATATAATTATTTAAAATATAAGTAGTATGGAGTGAAATTTGTAAAAAAAAAAATAAAAAAAAATTATAACTTATAAAAGAGTAGTTATAAAAATAAAAATGTAAATAAAATATTTATTTATTTTTATTGTAGTTATAGATTATAGATTATAAATTAATGATAATAATTAAAAAATAAAATTGGTTAGAATTTAGAGTGAGTGTGAAGTGGGTGAGGTTTTGGCTTTTGAATTGAAGAAGAGAGAGTGTTGTGATCTGAGTCGTTGAAGAAGAAGAAGAGATGAGTCAGAGTCAGGGACAGGGCCATGGAGGATCTCATTCCCTTGCCTTTCGCGTCATGCGCCTCTGCCGCCCTTCCTTCAACGTCGACCCTCCCCTCCGCCTCGACCCCGCCGACCTCTTCGTCGGCGAGGACCTCTTCGACGACCCCTCCGCCGCCCACCCCTCCCCCTCCCCCGACTCCGATCCCAACTACCGCAGCCGCTTCCTCCTCCACCACTTCTCCGACGCCATGGGCCTCTCCGGCCTCCTCGTTCTCCCTCAGTCTTTCGGGTCTCTCTCTCTCTCTTCAATTTGTGATTTCTCAATTATTCGCTCACTCATGCTCCCAATTCCAATGCAGAGCCATTTATTTGGGAGAGACTTTCTGTAGCTATATCAGTATAAACAACAGCTCCAATCTTGAAGTCAGGGAAATTATTATCAAGGTTTTTCTCATTCCATTTCTTCTTCCACTTCACTGCTATTTATTTATTATTATTACTATATGGGTAAGTTAGTACTCGTAACGCTTTGTACTGTGCTTAGTAAATGAATGTTGATTACATACACTAGGGAATACTAGCATTCAAGGAAAGAGGTGATTGTCTCTGTAGAACATGTTGAGAGATTCACTCTATTTGTTTAGTTTTGACCCAAGTTTGTTACTGTGCTCTGTTTGTTTAGCTGAGATTATTCAAACCTACTCTCTAAAGATAACTGCTGAAAAATCACTTAGAGCATGATTGGATGTAAGCTTAGACGGGCTTTTAAGAGATTTTCTACTAGAATACGTTCTTTGTTTTCAGTAGAGAAGCTCTTAAAAGTCCTTCTAGTATTTGATTATGGTACATTTCTTCTTCCATTGAGGAAAGTGCCTGCTCATATATTAGATCAATATTCATTTTACAGTCACTTGACTCCCATGTGATTTTTCTTTACCTTTTTGAGTCTGGAATTGCTGACCGTCCTTCACTTGCACATTCCCAACTAAAAGATGGTACCCTCCCATGGAATAATGCTTTTAGAGATCCTTCAACGAGTTTCATGATGGAATTTCTCTTTGGTTATTGTTTGGGGCCAACAGGCATGAATACGAGAGATTTACACAGATAAGTAGAGGATTTTTATACTCATTTTATGTTTCTTTCACCCCAAATTCCAAACCCAAGATCACCTTTCTACTTTGTTTGGTTAGCTGAGATTATTTAGAATGAACTCACTAAAGATAACTGCAGGAAAAGCTCTTATTCCTTTATAGATCACTGTGGGAAGATTTTATGATGTCTTCTGTAGTGCTTGTTCGAAACTTTTGATTCTTAATTATATTGGATCCATTTGACCAACATATGAGATTCATTTTTTTTTTTTTACCTTTTGTGTTCACAATCACCATCTTTCACTTGTACATTTCGTACTAACAGATGGCACCCTCCTTTGGAATGTTGTGTTAATTTGTGCGTAGCATATCTACTTGTTCTGTTTTAAGTCATTTATGTTGGATAAATAGATAAGTAGATGATTCTTTTACATGTATTTTAAGTGAATTTGAGCCCAAGAAATGCAAATGTATTCGCAATAGTCAGAGTGCTGAATTTTTTTTTATTCCATTGAAAATTTAATTTACTCAATTATTCAAAACTTTGTAACTGACAGGCTGAAATTCAAACAGAGAGACAGAGAATACTTCTTTTAGACACATCAAAATCACCAGTTGAATCGATCCGCGCCGGTGGGCGTTATGATTTTATTGTAGAACACGATGTGAAAGAGCTCGGACCTCACACGTAAGTTGTGACCCTCCAATAATATCTTTGTGTTAGTATCTGCAGCTTTTGTGCAATTTTGTTTGGGCATATTATGTTTCTTCTTTCTTTCATTTTTTATTTTTTACTAATTCGATTGTGCATATGCCCTTAGGCTGGTCTGCACTGCATTGTACAATGATGGTGATGGTGAGCGTAAATATCTTCCTCAATTTTTCAAGTTCATCGTTGCTAATCCACTTTCCGTGAGGACAAAGGTATTAATCTCTTTCTTTGTTAATGATATTTATTGAATTTGAAATAATCAAATAAATTATGTTCTCAAATAAAACAATCATATAATACCTTGGTTATTGAACTCACCAATTGATCTTTCATTATTTACATAACTTATGTGCTTGTTGAAAACGTTTTTGCAGGTTCGTGTTATCAAGGTATGTCAATGATTTGAATATACTATTCAAGTGTAAGTGAATATTTTTTTCCTTAGATAAATTTGTTGGGCTTAACTTAATGCCGTAAAAAAAGTCTTAACTGTGTTCATCTTCAATGTGTAGTATCTTTTTGTTAATGTTACAAAATTTTCAGATTACACCATTTGAATTATTGGATTAGTATTACTTGCTTGTCCATGTATGGAAAAGCATAATAAACTTCTGTTTTTTAAAACCCTTTAGTATTAAAACCAAGAATAAAATCCTTAATAACATAATAGTTTGCTTTTTATTTTTGAGTGTGCTGTGTGTTTCAAACACATAGTCTAACTGTGTTCAACTTCAATGTGTAGTATCTTTTTGTTAATGTTCAAAATTTTCAGATTACACCATTTGAATTATTGGGATTAGTATTACTTGCTTGTCCATGTATGGAAAAGGATAATAAACTTCTGTTTTTAAAACCCTTTAGTATTAAAACCAACAATAAAATCCTTAATAACATTATAGATACATCAAGTTTCCTTTTGATTTTTGAGTTTGCTGTGTGTGTGTTTCAAACACAGTCATCCAATGCTTCTTAATTTCAGTAAGAATCAATTCAAAGAAATGGGGGATTTTCTTGATAGAAAATAATGAATGTGTATATCTCTTATCATTTCAATCTTATCCTCGTTTAAGCAATCAACTTTTATAGTTTAATGCTTCTCCTATTTACTATCTTGATTAAATGCTTTCAGCAATGAATCTGGTTTAGTCAATCATAAAACAGCACGGGCTTACAATCTATAGTTTCATATCCGTTTAAAATATCTACTTTTCATTTTAGGAAACCCCATTGCTAAATCATTACTACATACTCTTGGTTATTGCAAATACTTATTGTCTTTCTTTGTGAATGTATAATTAAATAAGGTGTGGAAGGAATCTAGCAATCCTATTGTGCTCTTTCATGAAGAACAATAAATCAATAATACAGAAAAAGCATAAGTTTTATAAACCTTTAAATCTAATTATTTTCACTTGTAATTTATTATTTATGAATACATAATGGATCTGCAGATAAGAATCCTTTCACTCTTTTGTATAAAAAAATCCACTTATAATTTGATTATTAGATATGTGTAACTGAAGTATTTAAAGTACTTTTAAGTTTTAACTCCTGAAATTGCTTGAACATATTTTATGTTAGTTTTTGTTCAGGCTTTGTCACAGCTCTAGTCCTCAATATTGGATTGATGTCCTGATCATCACTTGTCTTTTTTAACCAATCTCTTATAATTAATCAAAAGACTATCTAAGGGGGTGTTTGGTTTTTATTTTATTTTATTCATTTTCAATTGATGTATTTTTATTAAGAATTACAAAAAAGAAAAAAAAAAAAAAAACCAACATTGTTGTTTCATTTCATGGTTTCATAAATTTGTGAAGGAAATGGTTAAAACTACATTCCCTTGTTTTGATGATTTTTTCCTGAAAAAAATGTTTATAATAGGAAATAAAATGAAAAATAAGGTGACACTTTTTAAATTATCGATGAATACATAGTAACAAAATGAAAATTGACACCAAGCAAACACCTCGTAAGTCCTTTAACATTTATGCTTGAAAATATTAACTAGTCATGCCTCCCTTTTTATTTTTTCTTGAAGCTTTGACATGTTAAGCTATCCCTGATTTAGATGTATGTATTCATCAGGATTTGTATGTTATCAGTATTTAGGTAGAAAAAATTCCGTGTTCAAATTCAGTTTAAGGCTTTATGGAAAGAATCTCAGCTCTATAAATTGAAGTGTCTGCCCCTACTTAATGTTGTGCGTCAAGTTATCTACTTGATCTGTTTCAGGAAACTACCTTTTTGGAAGCTTGTATTGAAAACCATACAAAATCAAACCTTTTCATGGACCAAGTTGATTTTGAACCTGCTCAGTGTTATAGTGCAACAATACTTAAAGGTGATGGGCACCATTCTGAGAAAGATAGTCCTACAAGGTCAGTGCTATAATATTCCTTTTGGAGTGGAGCATTCTATAATTCAACAAATACCAAATTCTGGCCATTATTTTCGGTTATCTTTTTGGGTCATCTAGTTTAATTACATTTTATTATTATTGTTATTGATTGATTATAAAGCAAGCTAAATTTTCAGGGAGACATTTAAACCACCAACACTAATTAGATCTGGTGGGGGAATTTACAACTATCTCTATCAATTGAAAACGTCATCAGATGGTTCTGCTCCAACAAAAGTTGAAGGAAGTAATGTTCTTGGTAAGCTCCAGATAACATGGAGAACAAATTTGGGTGAACCTGGCCGCCTGCAGACCCAGCAAATATTGGGGACTGTAAGTGTTGTTTCTTTGATAATGTTAGTTGAGAGATGAATTAGTTATCTGGTTTGTTGTATGTTAAATATCAGTGAACAATGACAAAATTGATGGTTAGACTTCTTTGTTTCTGCATAACATGCACTCAAATCTAGAATGACGTGTTTACCTTTTCCCTCTCTTCAAAATAATAATTGATGATAACATGCTTAAATTTCAAATACTGCTGGATGCATGTTAAATTGTTAATGTATTAAATTTAATGCTTTTAACCCCCTACCTGCTGAAATTTGCCTTCAGTTTTCTGAACTACGATTATTTAGTTTTCTCAAACAGAAGTATTTTGTCTGGAAATATTTCTTTGCAGCCAGCAGCGAAGAAGGAGATTGAGTTGCAAGTTGTAGAGGTTCCATCTATTATTAACCTTCAAAAACCGTTCATGGTAATTTTTTATCCATTTATCTTATGCTACTCATTAATTATTATAAACTAAACTGCATCTTAAATAGTCTTTTTCTTCTGGGCCATGACTCATTTTACATCCTGTGTAGCAGGCTAGCAGTTGTTGTTAGAGACTATTCACCATCTTAAGAATTAGGGATAGCTATTTCTAATTATGTTCTACTTTTAATCCGTAAATTAATTGTACTAACAGAAACAAACAAAAATTTGGAAGCTAAAGTTGTTTGCTTGTTATTTGCAGCTAAAACTGAATCTTACAAACCAGACAGACAGAGAGCTGGGTCCATTTGAAGTTAGCTTATCTCAAAATGCTTCATATGGGGAGAGAGTTGTGATGATTAATGGCCTTCAATCAATGGTAATGCATCTTGTCTGGATCTTTTTTGTCCTAGATTGTCAACATTATGCCTTTATTTTCCCTGGTATATGGCACTCTTGCATCAAATTTCTTGTTTTGGAGTAAGATATTGCCATTGCGCACAATCCTAGTGCTTTGATTTTGCTTGCAGTTAACTCTGACACATGACATTTCAAACTATGTGCAGGTTTTATCACAGGTTCAGGCTTTAGAATCCACTAATTTCCACCTGGTATTACTTTAAAGAATTCCGCTCTTATATATTTATCAGATATCTTTTGGTAGTGGTATTGAATTTTGATATCATATTACTTAACTACATTTAGTCAGTTCTTACCCTACATACTAAACATCATTCATTGTCAAATCTTTTATTTTCTCCCAAATCTCTATTAATTGTGACTGCCACCTGTTGTGGGTAAGTCACTATCAAATCTCTTTTTTTTTTTTTTTACTCCATGAATAAATTGCATCTTTGGATTCTGCTGCGACAAAAAGTGCATCTATATAGGTGTGTCGGTGAGAAGGGTTTGTGCCTGGATACACTTGTGTAGTTTTCTCCTATCATTGATCATGAGATACTCCTATCTTATAATAATGATTGTGGAATATCCTCTAGAACTCCAGTCTCCAGATCAATATTAATTGCATTTTCATTCTTTTTTAAATGGGGACAAAGTGTTGTTATTATATGATAGAAAACCGCTCATCACAAGGGTGTATGCTAGGAGAGCGAAAATGGAAAGTAGTGAGGAATTGAGCTTCATGAGGTGAGTGTGGGAACAAGAGAAAGTGTAAGCCTTGGGATCTAATTGTGAAAACATGGCAGATAGGACAGGATTAGTTGGGAGAACATTCGGTTAGCAATGGGAATAATGAGGGAATCATGACAGAAGGGGGGAATGGAACTTGAGTGGGAAAATAATGGGAAGGGAGGCAGCAGACCCCTCAAAGAGTTTGCAACCATTTTTGTAATGATCCGACTACACGTTACAATTTTGTGTCTGTGTGTGTCAAGGAGTTTGCAACCATTTTTGTAATAATCCGACAGGTTCCTACACTTTTTAGCAACTCAACCACGCTCTAGAGAAGGATCTAGATGCCCAAGGAAGTGCATAGACTCTTTCTCTAACCTTGGCTCAAAACAACTCCTAAACAACAAAATTTTATTAGGATTCCTACATCTTTAGAGTAGAGTTTCACAACAATTAAATAATTAATCGCGATAACATTTTAATTAATAAAATCAACAATTAGAAAAAATCAGTGTTACAATTTTCATTCTGTTTGTGTGCTTTGTTCGACTATATCAAGTTTGATAGTTCTTTGGATATTGATTTCTCTTGGAATTTTGTAGCTAGAAAAGTTTTCTTGTTAATAATTTAATAAAATAATCTCTACTCGATATCTGTTTCTATCATTATCAATTCTGGCTACTGCTTTATAACTATTTAATCTATTTAGGCCTCATTTTCCGGGTACGTAACAAAGATGCATAGAAGTTACAAATATGAAGAAAAAGAAACATTACAAATTATAATTCAGTGCATTGTTTGGGTTGGTGTCTTACTACTCTTTACAATTAAAGAGTAGTAATAAAAGAAAATAGTCAATGATAATATAAAGAAAGGAGCGTTACAAATTACAATTCAGTGCATGGCTTGGCTTACATCCCACTAATCTTTACAAATATGCAGAATCTCATAGCTACTAAACCTGGAATTCAGAGAATTACGGGAATTACAGTTTATGATTCTAGGGAGATGAAATCTTATGAACCACTTCCAGATTTAGAGGTCAGTTCAAGTTGTATGAATTGATTGTGTTTCATGGGCAGATATATGTTCCTTGTATCAAATTTGTATATCATATTTGACGTGGCCTTTTCCCTTCAAACCCCAAAAGTCAGGATAACATTCTGACTTCTTTAATTGCTGCAGATTTTTGTGGACATGGATTAAAATTGTGGCTACTGCATCCAGTTTGGTCAGAAGTGGTTAACATTGATCGCCTGTTATCCGCAGTTAAATGTTCCGTGTCATCAATGTGCCTAATCAAGACCTACCATGTTCCCAACTGGTGACTCTCTGATGCCACTAGGCCTATATTCTCTTCCAGTTAGGGCTAATGAATCCTGCAGGATCATCAAAGCCTTATTGGACTAATTGCAAAGTTCTGTAACTAAATTGGAGTAATGAGTGGTTGATTACGTGCTGGGGGGCCAAGTCCTTGCTTTTATTGGTTCTAGGGGCTCCGTAATTTTTATTCATTGTCACTATATTTATCCAACTGCTTGATTATCATCTATAGATGATTTACATGGCGGTTTCTCGTATTGTAGTAAGTGGTCAATTATACTAATGTATTTTAAGTACTGTGAATTATATTAATTATTAAAAAACTTTATCAATTTGTTATGGATTAACTAATGAAACGAACAAGTGTATTGCTCTTTTCAAATATTTAATGGTTAGATAAATAGAGTGTAGTTTTCAACTCATTTTTATTTGTCCATTAGGTAATGCATAGATAGAAAATTGATTGTTAATTCCCATGATAAAATAATTTTATTTGACTAAAATACTTGCAATGAACAGTGATATGTCTACTAGTGCATTTAATCTTTCATGATATATGGGGGAAAAAGTAACAAATACTTATATATATATATATATAGAGAGAGCATATCAAGTGAGAGAGAATTTATTATGAGAGATGAAAGGATTAAAATATAACTCTTAGATTAATTAAGTGAGAGAAAATTTGGAATTTAATCAAATAAGAGGAAATTAATCTAAGAATTATATTTTAACCCTCTTATCTTTTCATAATAATTTTTTTCTCGCTTGATATATCCATAGTATATATTAATTAAAGTGATAATTTGAGACATGCAAAAGCAACAAATATAATCAGAGACCATAATACACGTTCACGCCTATTAGAGTATCATTTGTAAATTTCAATTATGAACTGTCAAATGTCAATATATAATAGAGTTCACGCAAGCTTTTTCGTAGTTCAGTTCTAGTTTCACATTAGAAATGATAGGAATAAGAAAAAATAAAAGGCTTTTGGTATATAATGAATAGCTTACACTTAAGCAATATATTTATGAAATTGTAGCACAAAATAGCAAAAGCTAATATATTTCATAAAGCAAAGATCGCTGCCAATAAAAATAGCAACATATCGATACGAATAAAAGATCTACTACTAAAGAGCAACTCTCATGGGAGTTGCTTGTCTTATGAAGTAACTCAAATCTCGGTTTCTTGTCATTGGAGAACTCTGACGTGTCAACATGAGTTGCTTGAAGAAAAGAGAGAGTTGCTTCCTCAAGCAACCGTTCCTTACCAGATTTTAAACAGATCTTATTGAACATATTTGGAAACGTTTCAGAAATAATAATGATGAAAATTAATTTCGTATAATATTTATGTATTTATTATTGCTTTATTTTATTTTTAATATCTGCTTATTGTGTTTTTTTTCCTCATAATTTATTTTCTTTCATTGTAACGTAATTATCCTTTTTAATAAAAATTTAAATTTGGTTCATAAATGATTAGAAAAAAAATTCTAAAAGTTGAATTTCTTAAAGTTTTTTACCATTGAAGTAAATTTGTGTTTGAGTTGCTTAATGCTGATATGACACTAGGGACCACTTTTTTCATTTTTCAATGCATAAAACAACTCAAATGAGTTGCTTCCATTGGAGATGCCCTAAAAAGTGTAAACCCAGTATATAATTTGCTTTACATAATTTTTAAAAATTAAAAGAATTCAATAAAGACTATTACCTAATTCTTCCGCAATTCGTGTCAAAAATATCTTCAAATCAATTGTTGAAGACTAATTTTTGAATCGTAAAGATCATTGGAGTGTGCATTGTCTCTCCCTACAAAGTTTTTTCTATATGTATCACCAAAATTCGAATTCTCGATAGACTTTATTGGTCACTCTACATGTATTAAAAAAAAATATGAAAGAATCAAGAGTACTTACCAATTATTAAAAATTAATATTTTTCAATAGTAATTTATTCAATAAAAGTTCAACATATTTTTAATTTTTTTTATTAAATTTAGTATAAAAAAAATTCTTTTATTAGTTTAGTCACCTATATTATCCAGTCAAAGCTAGATAATAGTAAATCGTCTAGGTTAGTGACATAATAACATTGTGTTTTAAATTTAAAAGAGAATAAAATTGTAATCGGAATTTATATTTAGAATATAAAATAATTAATAAACGATTTAATTCTTTTTAACTATAATAAATTTCGATGGTTTATATTTTTTTTTTCCTATCTCGGCACCATTCATTCTACAAATGTACAATCAAAATTTGTGTGCGAGTGATTTTCTCCTTGCCTGCTTCATTTCGGCATGTGAAGTAAAGCACTAAAGTACAAAAGAACAACATATTATGAAACAAAATTACACATGAATTCGAAAAAGTTGCTATTATTCATGTAGCAAATGACCAAAAGTCATTTTCAACATTCAATCATAAATATAGTTCATATATACAAGTTAAAAAGGAAGAAGAAGAAAAAAAATCCCGAAAGAGCTAATAACAGAGAAGTCACACCCCATTATATTATGCAGCTAACAAACAGTATTAAAAAGAGAAAAATAAAAAAGTTGCTAAGATGATGGACAAGGTTAACTGAATCAGGCTTGTGGGCCCCAAGCAGCCCAATTTGCTTCACTTCCAACACGTGGCATCATTGACTTCCTTGATTGGGGATCGACAAGAAAGTTGGATCCACACATCACCCCCTCACTATCAACTCTTTCCATTGGCTTCATCTTCCTTGTTGGATGCTCATAGCTCATTAGACCATGTCCACTATGAAACATACACCCTGCAATTTAATTAATTCAATGCATTATATTCCAAACAAAACATAAGCAGTATAGTTTCAAGAAAAAATAGTCTATGCAATTTATATGTCATCATTCAATCAGAAATTACCATATACATTAAAATATGTTAATCACATCCTATCTAACACTTTCTTGCAAATACTCTTTATTGTTGGTTGAAAATGATAAATTTTAATGGGTCTAACTACTAAATTAAGAGAGAAACTCATTCAATGAAATTTGAGATTTATAAAATTTGTAATTTTTAATAAATTTCAACCTATAAAAGAATGTTAAAAAAAATATCACTAATATTCTTTATATAAAATTTGTTGGTTTTTATAAAAATATTTAAAAATCAAGAATATCATAATTTGTGATTAATTCACGATGTAAAATAATCTTAGACCGTTGTTATATGACCATTAAAATCATAGTTGTAATGCCTCTAGAATTCCTATGTTCCCTAATTGATATTGCACTTATCTTATGGTTGAACTAATTTCCTTTCATTAAAAAGTTGTTTATTTGAATGATGGCTCAGAATAAAGTTATAAAGTCTTAATTTTGCTATGGAAAGAGAGACCAACTTTACATACCAGTGGGGAATGGTGCAAATGATTTACCACAGCTGGCTTTTATAAGCTCCAAATTCTCAGAAATAACTACAGAACCATCAGCTGCAATGCCCCAGAAAAGTCCAATCTTTCCATTAGAACCCTGCTCAAACACACCATGTAGAGAGATTCACAATTAGCATCATAAAACCTCACATTTCCTTTAACATATCTAAAATAGAGAGATTCAAAAAGGGCCTTACCAATGCAATAAAAACAGTTCCATCCTTATTGTCATAGATCACAAATCCAAAACTCCCTTCAAGGTCTTTGAGGACCTGATCAGCAGGGTATGGACCCCTATCACGAAGAGTCCTATAGGCTTCTATGATGAACATAGCTTCATTGGTTCCCTTTGATAGGCCATACTGCTTGATAAGCATGCTTAGGTTGTTTAGGCCCCCAAGGAACATGCAGTATATGTCATCCAAAACACAAAACCTGTGTCACACATCTTTTGCATGAGAAACAAAACTTAATGCACACTCATATCTCAAATTTTAGATCCAATTACTCGCATTGTTATGAGTTGTCATGAAATTTCAAATGATCAATTACTTAAGAAACCTTAAAGGGGCACATACCCTTGATGAATGAAGGGCTTGTTTGAAGGGGAAAAAGCTAGCAAAGCATCATTTCCAAAGCTCATGGAGAAAGCTTTGGAGGGATTGTAGGATATGAATTCCTTAATGATTTCATTTGGAAGTTTAGACCTTATTGATGTATCCAAAGAAGCTGGACTGTTGAGCTCTTGTGGTGGATTCACCAACTTCTCCTTGAAAATTCCTAACATCTTTGCTTATTCCTTTGGCTCTTTGTTCCCTTCCAATTTCACCACTTTCCTTTTCTTCCCTCCTCCAAGGAGTGTATAGAATTTCTCAAAGAAATGAACCAGTATCAATAGACCAATTAACTGCAAAAAGAACATCAAATCTCTCAGATATTGAACCCCCCTAAAATGTGGGGAAGGAAGAGCAAGGGATTGAAAAATAAAAACAAATAAGTTTACCAAAATCAGTAATCCAAATAGCTTCAGATAGAGAATGAGATTCAGTGACAGCCTTCGAAAATGGACAGTGATAATAGATAGAATGAGTCATTCACATTATATGCCTAAATATTTATAGGGACTGGAAGTTAGAGATAGAGAGAGAGAGACTGTGTCATGTTCATGCTGGCAGTTTTATCCAAATTAACAAGTACGTAAGCAGCAGAAAGTAACAATAGTAATAGATTATTAATAGTATTAGATAAATTTATCCACTAACCATATTATGCTTATAATAGAAAATAATATGTTCATACCAATTTTAAATATTTCTTTTCAGACCCAGAAGATCTAAATTGTGCTTTATCAAAGGCATAAAAATATCTGTTATACATTAATTACTTGCTATCTGTTTATATTCTTAATCCATTTCACTGTATAATGAACTAACTAAATTTTTTTATATAGAAAATTAGAAACAAATAACCATGACTAGTTTAAATTTAGAATGAGAAAGAGATCATATGACAACCGAAGTTTAAGGTTCCTCTTATCCACAAAGCCAACAGCGTATGACAGTGATCCGAGTCAGCACGTTGCAATTTTTTCATTCCTTAAACGTCGAAAACTGCGTTTACTTTGACAATGGCACATGTGGTTGTGGTTTAGAATCTTGATTCTGCCACCCACAGATTGTTTAACATCGATTTTATTTTCTAATAAAGTGAGTACGTTGAATTTTGTTGTCAGATATTCGATTTCAAATTCACATTATTGTATAAGTAAATTAACTTTTTACTTTTTTTTTATGAACATATTCTCACATAGTTTCAAAATTATTATTTTAATATAGACAATAATTAAACACTTTACAATCACCAAACTAAAATGCTTGATTTACTGTTAGAAGTTCTATCCAATGCCAGAGCCGTTGATATATAATTTTTATTTTTTTTATTCAGAATCTACGGTTCTTTATATCAACTCAAGTTTTAATTTTTATTATCTACTTCGATACAATTTATAATTTTAACTAAAATATTTAGTATGACTGAATGCTATGATTATTTATAATTTTAATTACTTAAATATTTTTTTTATAAACCCTTTGTAAGAAAAATGTTTTTTTATCAACCATGTCTTTAGCAGGTCTTACATTTTGTCTACCAAACATTCTCGAAAAGCATACCAAAACAAAAGTAAGTCTAACATTTTGGTTAATTAAAATAAATAAACTACTTATTTAAACTAGATCTTACAAAGTAAATAAATAAAAGGCAAAGTTACTAAAATAACCCTAAGAAAATTAAAAAATGCAAATTATGATAATTTAAATTTACTTGTTTTTATAAATATCAGAAGTGTTAAAAAAAATATTTTAACTTTTTTTTTTGAAGAAAAAATACTTTAAATTAAATTTGGTCTTATTTATTTATTTTTTCACCAATTATTTATAAATTTAATTACTTAAATAACTTTTATATTTTAAGAAGTCAAACTTTTTAGTCTATTATATTTTAAGCTAAGTATTTTATGATAACTTAAAATTCATTGATCCCATTTTCGTATAAAAAGGTCATTCTTATATGTCTCTTATTTTATATGGTTGTTATTCTCATATACGTGTAGGTGTACATGATATGTTTATATATGTGTATGTCTTAAAGAGATCTGAATAATCCTTCAAAAAAAAAAAAAAGATCTGAATAAACATCGGTCATGGACAAAAATTCAATTTTATAACAGTCGTTCGTCAAATGTAATTAAAATTAATGGATTTAATTGTATTTAGTAGCAAGTGTCAAATTAAATTACTCACATCGATACTCCTAGAGGAAAACAAATCACTGTCTCTATGAGGTGTCTTCTTTTAAATATAAACATATTAATAGAGGTAGTGTACACTTATAGGTAATCTCAAATAAACTTCTTTGTAAATTTTTTTTTATTTTATTAATTATTATTATTTGATACAATTTTTTTATAAAGAGTTAAAATTGTCAAAATTAATGTATACACCAAAATAAAGATATATATGCATAAATTTATGTAGTTTTTATAAAGAGTTAAAGTTATCAAATATAATATGTAAACTAAAACAATGAGTTACTTTTATATATAGGTATAGATTTATCACACAACTAGTTATATATAGAGTCAAGGCACTTGCCTCTATTTATTTTTCATTAAAAAAAAGGACTTTAGAAGTAATTGTATACCAATTATAACAAGAAAAGAGAAGACAAAGAAAAAAAAAAGATAAATGTGTAAGTAGTGAAAAGTTTTTATTTATAATAGAAATGTAATTTGTAGTTATTTAAAGGAGTTAAAAGACTAAAATGTGAAAATAAAAATTTATATATAAATAAATTGATTTATTTTTTAAAAAAATTGCGAAAGACAACATGACCTTATTTAAAATAAAAATTAAAAATAGTTAAGGATAATATATCACCTTTATTTATTATTATAGATTTTTGATAATAGCAGCAACATGTTATTTTTTTTCAAGTTTGTTTCCTGAAAAATATATTTCTATAATAATAATAATAATAATTAATGATTATATATAAATGTAGTATAATTTAAAATGATTTAAAATATATTATTTTAATTAATAACTATATAAGGATATAAGTTAATAAATTATATGTATAAGTGTGTGTATGAAGTGACTTGAACAAATATTTGTCTTGTTGATTAAAACTTTAGCAATAATCATTGATCGTATATAGATAAATTTAATGTACTTAATTGTATTTAGTGATTTAATGATAAATTAAATTACTCATGTTAATACTTTTTTTTATGAATAACTCAAGTAATTAAATATAATTTTTTATATTAAATAATAAAATTAAATATTATATTTCTAATTTCACTTATTTTTTAAAATTAGTTACTTTAAGATATATATTATGAACAATAATAATTAAAAGTTAACGATTTTATAAATATGTAATTACTTTTAATATAATTCAAAATATATTGTTTAAATTAATGGTTATATAATGTTGGAAATTAATAAATAAATAAATAATA